TTTGTTGATCCCATCTGATCGTTGTGGTTTGCTAAGAATCGAATGAAATGGTGGACGGTGACCCACTAATAGGTTGTAGCAACGACGACCAGATGGTGGTTGAATGTGATGTTGGTGTGAGATGTTGCCGGAGTCAGGTGGCGACGGTGGAGGCGTTGAGACATTCAGCAACGACGCCAAGAGAGAGATGGTAGAGATTTGGTTTGACGGCGGCTGTTGTGTAGAGGAGATTAGGGTAACTGCGTGTAATAGTGTAAAATACATGTAGGTGTTTAGGATGTGAATGGTTGGTGGACTTCCAGGGCGTCGATTGAGAAAAGGAGACACTACGATTTTTTGGTGAGTATTGATCGATTTTGAAGCGATTAGGAAGGAGACGCAAAGAAGAGGGGTTCGATTTCCTTCTGATGGAGGTTGTTGTGTCTAGTGTTGTGTGTAGAGAAGATTAGGGTAACATTGAAGATAAGGTAATACCGTGTATGTATACGACGATGTGATTATAAGCTTAATATTATTGTACATGAGGTAATAGGTATCGTACCTCTTAATTTTCAAGAAACATGCAATATGTTTAATAATATATATATATATATATATATATATATATATATATATATATATATATATTATTAAACATATTGCATGTTTCTTGAAAATTAAGAGGTACAATCTGTAACTCTCTTTCTATTATCTTTTCTTATGTCGTAATTTATGTCCTAAAGCCCTGATTTTTTCTAAATCGTTAGTCAGACAAGGCTTATTCTTCTTCCAAATGTTAATTTTGTGTAAATCGCCCTTTTGGGTGTTGATGAGTTGTTGCTTAAGTTTATTACTAAGTTTTATAGGTTGGTACTTTTTAAATCGCATGTGGTCGCTCTCCGACATCACAACCCACCTCCGCCTCTGTCATAGCTCGCCATCAGGTGCCCCCCCCCCCCTCTCTCTAACTCTGTGTATGTGTATGAACCCATATGCTAATCATTCGTCCCTTGGTTGCAGACTGGAGTTATTGGCTAGTCAGTTCTGAAAATCCCAAAACCTTTGTGAGATGCTATTGAGATGAGAGAATCTCTTTCTAAATGCAACAACATCCATGTGTACCGTTATAGTTGTCTAAACCTAGCAAGAGATGTTTCTGGGGAGAGTTCAGATCTGATATAAAAAACATGGTGGTTTCTTTATCGAATGGTATAACAGAGAGGTTCAATTTATGCTTTACTCATGACTTTGTAAGTTACTAAAGTATACTTCATATATTATGACAAAAGTGGGGTTATTAGAGATTTTTCAGTTTTGGATTTAACCCTCTTGCTTATGCTTGGTTTTTATTGTTAAGCAGATCTGTCAGCCTTGAGTGCGTACCTAGATATTCGTTGATTTTTAGTATTCATCTAAGTTGTAAAATCCTTGCTGCTACCATCGACCTAATCACTTATATACATGTAATAAGGTATATAGAGCTTGTAGGTGCAAGTTTATTGGCTCTTATGTGAAAAAGGAATTGACAGATGTTTTGGGTTTTTTTTTTATTTCAGATCTAACTATGGCTACCCCTCTCTCTCATACACACATAAATGGATATAATCAGGTAGGCTTTACCATTCTGTTCTTTCCAAACAAACCAATTATTACAAAGAAAATTTGATTTTGGAAGACTGATTAAATGAAAAGGTTCATTGTTTCTTTTTGCTAATAATTTAAAGAACTTGCGATTTATTGATGTCTTAATGGGTTTACCAAAGTTGCTTGGTAATTATTGATTTCTTTTGTGCTAAATCTTCAAGCTCATATATCATACAATGGGGGTTTTATTATATTGGATGGTGATTGAAATAAGTAGATGCTACTCTTTGAAGTTTTATGGTGCTGCTTATGGTTCTTTTTTGCTGACATGGAGGTTTTATTATCCAGTTGTCCTTTGAATTTATTGATTTGTTATCATATTTGTTTGGTAATGTATAGTGATTAGGTTGTCATAAATGTTGTTGCACTCTCTATCTATTCGATAAAATGTCTCAAAGAGTGTTTAATTGTCATTCTTAACTTTAATTAGCTCAAGTTATCATCTGAAATGGACTAATCTATGTAATATGTCTAGTAAAACACGTTCACTCAACAAAATTACCAATCTTTACAAACTCAGCTAAATTATGAAGTTTACAAGTGTGTAAATTTGAAAAATTTATGGATCTTATGCAAGTATGTAAATTTGATTACTTATCGAGGGGTTTATATTGGCATCACCGAACATGGAATCCTTAACTGCTGGAATTATTTAACTTCTGAAACATACATCAATTTATTGAATAAGACAGTCTATGAAAATCAACAATAAAGTTTCTGAAGGATTGGCATTTATCCTTTGTGATGGTAGATGCTAACTAATCATGTAACTTTGTCTGCTCAACTTTTCATTGTAGTTGTACCTGATGAATTGTAATCTCAAACTTCCAATATTTTCTTATTTGAGGTAAATTAAATAGTAATCTTTATTTGATTTAAATTTCATAGGTTGGCGTCTCCCTTTACATTTTTTGAAGAAAGAGATTTCAACATAATGGAATTGCTGAGTTATCATTGACAATATTTGGTGATTTGGCAATGCAAATTGAGGGATAAGTTACCTTGGGAGAGTTAGGGTGTCACTTGAACTGTATTTGTAAAAAAATTATATGGGTGTGGGCTAGCTATTAAGGTTTTGTCGTACATGCTGGTGTTGGTATTCATTTTTCTCAAGTAATCATTCAATAAGAGATTTATTGCACTTTAGAGTCCCATTTCTATGGTGATGTTGTTGTATAGACTTTCTAGAAGTGATGCAGTTTGCATATCAAAGAAGATTTGTTTGATTTGGAAAATATATGGTTCAAAGTCTTATGTAATTTATCTCTTTGGGTTGTAAAATAGCAAAAGTTTGCACATATATGTTGGACTGCATTCTATTTGTTTAAGTCAAATTTTACTTTATTACTACTTATTGTATATAAGTAAGGACGTGAGTCAATTTTTACTCAGGTACCGTTTATTTGTGTTCCATTTTAATATGTGAGTATATTTTGTATACAGGTAAGGCTGTAAGTCAAATTTTACATTATTATCTGTGAGTCAAGTGAAGTTTTTTTTTTTACAAATCAAGACTTACGTCGTATAGAAACCAACTACATGTCAAAAGGATAAAACTTTAAAATTTTGCACATATTAGCATATTACCAATGTTTTAAACCCCGAGTTTTTAGTTGACCCGGTGTGATGACCGGTTCACGGGTCAACCGGTTCAACCGGTTGAACCGCCGGGTCAACCCGGTTTATGATCTTTTTCTATTTTCATATATTTTTACTTTCCTCTATAATGCATAGACATATAAAACCAATAATTTGATGTCTTCAAAGTTTAAACATTGAAAAAATATCAAAACATGTTATAGATTGTGTTTGTAATCGTTCTTCTTCCCTTGATTCCATATTTAATTGCATTGAAAAGCAATGTTATAATCAATAAACATATGTTAATTGGATCCTAATTACATAATCTACACAATTTGAAACAGTGATCAATTAACAATGAATAATCAATAAACTAGCCAAAACCGTCACCTTCACAGTCGATAGGAGAAGAAAACATCAATTAATCGATCAAAACCATATCAAAACGGGTCAATCCGATTTTAACCGGTTCGACATAAACGGTTCGACCGCGGGTTAGGGGAAACCCGGCCGGTTCGGTCCGGTCCGCATTTTTACAAAAAACCGTTCTCAATTGACCCGCCTTCCACCCAGGGTCACGGTCCAACCGGTTGAACCGGCCGGGTCGACCCGGGTTTTAAAACATTGCATATTACAAGATTAATAGAAACCAACTACTTTTTGTCAACTTACTATCATTTTGTATCTATAAAATGAAGATAACGTCTTTCGTCAATAAGGGTGTCCGAAGAAAACCAAATCCGAATAAACCGACCGGACCAAATAAGGTTTGGTTTAATCGGTTGATTTTATTTGGTTTTCAGTTAAACCGATATTTTAAAACCTTATTTTATTCGGTTTTCGTTTAACATTTTGTCTATTTAGGTTAACAGAATAAACCAGTCAAGATTTTAAAATTATAAACCTTTTTATTTTTTATTTTTTGATTATACATATCTGTTCCATAATAAATTAAACTATTAATTGGAAACTCTTAATGAAAGTAATCGATTTATGAATCTGCTTTATATGGGTTGTGTATGGTCACACTGTTATTTCTAAATCTTTAATTTTTGTATTTTTTAGATTAAAATAACATATATTTTTCCTTCTAACACAAAACAATAATATAATTATTTTTAACCCAAAAAACAACGTACTTTTATTTTTCACCAAAAATAATAACAAATTTATATTTTTAAACCAAAATCGTGGATGTTTTTACTTTTTAATCTAAAACAACAATATACTTATATTTTTAAACCAAGATATGAACATATTTCAGTTTTTACAGACTACAATGTGCTTTCTTTGAAATATGAAATGTTTCACTGCAAAAAAATAAAAACCACCAGCCGAGAGAAAACTGATCGCCTCTACGAAACTATTCACCAAAATGAATCTGTCACATATGCCGCAACCAGAAGGAAATCATCTAATGACACCGAAAGGAAACCAATCGTTGAAATGAACTAATCTCCGCCGCTGCATCGCGCGGGTACGCTACTAGTATATATATATATATATATATATATATATATATATATATATATATATATATATATATGCCACTGCTAATACCTACTACGAAATCCTACATCCACCCCTGAGTGCTTGAGTAAGTAACGCATATCTCCACGTTAATTAAGTTGAGTTTATTAATTGAATGATTATTGTATCATGTTTTGTACTCTACCCGAAAGAGTCCATTTATGGTGATAATGTTTACAATTTGTCTTGATCAAAAATTTTGTTTTTAGGTGAATAAAGTGCATCAAAAAATTATTTTGCACCTCTACTCATAAACAAAATGGTTGTTCCACAAAAAATGTGACATAAATGCCCTCATCATCCTTATCATTGAGAATATACTAACAATGTGCAACAAAGCTTAGCAATGACTAATGAGTAAAGATTAATAAAAATTACACGCCATTAAATAATAGAAGCAAAAACATCATACGAGTTTAACAACACTAACTTTTGATGCATACTATGCAGATGTCTGCATGGATCCTTCCTCCGTATCATTACCTTCAACTAGCTGCAAAAATCCATCAAATCACATTACATTCATTTTTTTTAACAAAATGCATTAAAACAATATAATAAAAAAATGATAATAATAATAATTACCAAAGAGCCAATTTGCTCATATGCACGCATTACTTTCGGATCCTCTTCCTCCTCATACCCTAATTGAAGTATCCGTGGTCCATTTACTGACCAAAATGCCCTTCTACCTGCCCCCTGTACACTCATCACCAAACAATACCCATGTTAACCTCAAAACAACAAACCACCCACAAAATTACAAAATTACCAAAATACCCTCCCACCTGTAATATAATCAAGTAAATAGCCTCCAATGCTTGGACGCGTATTTCAGTATCGGTTACAGGTTCCCTCTCAATTGAAAGTGCACTTCCTAATTCAAGTGGCATCTTTGAAGTATCTTGTTCATTATACACCTGATATAAAAAAATAAATAAATAAAATTAAATCACAAAAATGAGAAACATTGTTATGAATTCTTTAAAATCAAAATAAAAATGAAAATATAGACCTTGTTTCCAGCAACTGGTAGAAGTAAAGCTGGCCAAAGAAACTCTGATATCAGAAGCAAATTTTGTATTTGATTGTCAGCTTCAAAACAGCAGTTCCGAATAGTGCCAGATACCTATGAAGGGTAAGATGTGAAATATACTCAATCTTCAAGGGCTAAAATCGGTTATTATTATTCTTTAAGGGTTGTAGTTCAATTTGAAGTTTGAGCTTACCCCTTTCTTTCTCAATATGCTTGTGGAATCAAATTGTCTGATAATTTGTTTCAAAAGCCCACGTTTGGAGTCTAAAAGAAGTGATCTTCCTTCTTTGTTTTTTGAAATGTTTACAAGTATTGATCCAACATGCCCAAATGGATCATCTGCTTAAATTCAACAAAAAAGTAAAATTATAAAATCAGTATGAGAATTTAGATATAATCACATGTGTAATTTCTAAAATGATTGGACCTTTTTTCTCATTGGATGATGTGCAAAATGATCTCACAAGTTTCATGACATACAACCCCTGCACCTTATCATCTCCTAACTACACACATGATCCACATAAACTACTAATAAAATCATTCATCTATAAAAAGCAATCAATAAACTAAACAAATTAAAGAAACAAAACCTGAAGCAATGATTCAACACCAGAATCAAGCTGTGTAAGATTAACAAGAAGCATGACTAGTAATCCAGTGATTTCACATCCTTGTTTGTATAGAATATCCATGGTTACTTTAATTATACCAATTTCAATCATCTTTGATGCCAAATCAGAATTTTGGGAGAGATTCACGAGAGCTTGTGTTGCTGCTTCAGAGACCTCCTGAAACATGATTATTGAAGTTAAGCCATGGTATGAAGAATGAAAGTGACAAGATGACATGATGAGAATTGAGAAATAAGATCTTCATCTCCAAAACGTAAACAATATAGCACCTTTTTTTCACCTAATAGTCGACACAAGGATGGAAGCACGGTTTTGGAATAACTGGCGAGGGATTGTAGTCCATCTTCTGATCCAGTTAAATCACGAACAATATCAACAGCTACCTTCTGCACCTGATAATAAAATAAGCCAAGTAATGTTTCAAGCTTTCAAGCAATAAGCGATAATGAGTTCTTACAATTTGATGACAAACTATACAGACTCAAGTTTACTCCATCAAATTCATGGTTTGGAGTTGATTAGATTCAACCACGAACAAAAATTGCAACGAAACTCTCGATTCCGATGATATAAATTAGGATCTTAACACGGTATAATTATCACGTTTGATGAATACCATTACAATGGTTACTTAATGGACCTAATCAAACTATCTGATTGAACTCTCTAGTGAATAATTGAATATAGCTCAACTGAATTATAATCACAAACAACGATTCAAAAGCATAGTAAATTACTCGACTCTGTGAATTAGGGTTTTAACAGCATAATTGATAATACTAATGGGTTTAAGTACAAAAAACAACACCAGAACTAACTTACTTGTGGAGAAGGAGCCGAGAGGAATCCAATTAGTTCTTCCATTTCATTCGCCATTTTTTGATTTTCTGGTTTCTCGTACGCCAATCCAATGAGTAAAAACCAGTTTCTCGTGTGGTTTAAGCGCCGCCGAGTTTTGTTTATTATCGATTTTTTTCATTTTGATTTTCTTTTTATTGATATTCTCCCTCTGTTTGTAAAGTGTATACATTTTTTTGATGGTAATTTAGGGTTTTAATATGATTATTTATTGTAACAAAATTATAAGGTCTAGTTTTAAATGTATTATGTAATTTAGTGGTTTGTATATTTAAATAAACCAAAAGTTATATTTTTTTTGAACAGCAACCAAAAGTTATATGCTTTGTTATTTGATGTACTTTTGTGGTTTGTATGTTAAAATAAGCTAAAAGTTCTTTTTTTAAACAGCAACCAGAAGTTATATGCTTGTTATTTGATGTAATTTAGTGGTTTGTATATTTAAAATTAGAGTTATTCACAAAAGAAATATTTTGACTTTTGAGTCTTTGAGACCATTTTTTTCTAGATTTTAACTGAAAGAATAAAAATAATCTGTAATTATAAGAGCGAACTTCAGAAAACATTCATTTGATATAAAACTAACTAATAAAAGTTATATTTCACCGAGACTATTTTTATATGTTATTGAACCTCACATAATAGGTCTCGATAATGATTCGCAAGTATTAATGATTTACTCATTTCCTATGTATCATTTAGTCATGCATACACACAATCATAAATTTTTATCACTAAAAGTTATCCCTATACGTACTTGTATGATATTTTTCTGCTTCAAATTGTCGGTGCTAACATATAAGATGACAAAATGTATTTTATACATTCTTTAATATTCCATTTTTTTATAGAGAATGAACACCATTGAGGTTGTAGAATTCTCAACATCCTTCAATGAGACCATCATTAGCAAAAACAATTTTTTCGTTTCCTTTGTTGAGTAAATTATAATTTTTGTCAAGGATTTAGTAGGATTTTCACTTTTGGTTCTTAATTTTTTTATTATAACGTTTTTTTCCCTTAAATTGACTATTTGTTTGGGATCAAACTTGAAAAATCAGTTATAAGAGAAAATTAGTTAGAACCAAAATTGTAAAAACAACTATACTTAAGGACCAAAGATGTAATTTACTCTTAAAAATTGTTTCAAGTTGATCCAGATCCTACCTGACCCAATCTTTGACAGAGTCAAATACATGTTTTAGACCGCACTTGCTAAATACTAAATAATAAAAGTACATTTTGTCTTCTAAAAAAAGGCGCTTTCAAGTTCATCTTCCTTCGCATTCGTTGGATGCACGACCGACAATTGTCCCTTTTCCTCTCAATCTTTCCACTCGTCAATTTGATTCTCTCGGCCCTTAGTATGAAAACGACAGATTGACACGCAGAATCAATACCGAAATTAGGGCTCGGAACAAGATCCGCATTCGGAAGGAAGATTTGTAGCCAGGAATAGGTAAATTTGTATTATTATTGGAATGTGTGTGTTTACTTTGAAGTGAAGTTAGTGTAATTTGATTCGATGTATGATAACTTTTTCAGATCTTATGATTTTGTACAGATGAATTCGAAGGAGGTTAGTTTTAGGAAAAACTGAAATGTTACCGGAGAGGAGGGGAGTTCCTGTTGGTTCAGATCTGATTAAAGCTGCTGATCATAATAGTGACCATGGATTACGAGCTGTTCGTCGTAGTCGGAGGGCTGGACGGATGAGATTGTTGTTCTGGTTATTCTCACTTGCTGCTCTCTTCTCCATCTGTTTTGCTATTTTCGGATTTAAGATGTTCTTCCATGGTACTTTTTATTAATTTGATTCACTTCTCTATACTATTTTACTTAACCTTGAAGCGTTTTATAGTCATCCCACCACTTGTTCTGATTTCTGTAATCGAAAAATGCTTAGTTGTGAATTTGTGATAGTAAATTTGAGGACATTCTGGCATTTTGCTCTGGTTAGGTCTATATGAAAGAAGATGTTTTGTGAAGTCAGACTCTAGTTCTGGAAATAACTAACTGTTGAAAGAGGGAAATATTAGTTCAAGTTACACATATGCATGATATGCTAATGATATTGAGGCCTGTTTCTATCTTTGTTCTTAATGAATTTATGTAGAATTCATTAATATACCTAATAGTTTCTTTGTGCCATTAAATGTGTAAAAAAGAGAGGTGTTATAATGCAAAATCTTCTGTGTTATTCATGCCCATGGTTTCAGTCTGTTGTCTCCAACACATGGAACTTCTGATATGACATATGCATTATTACTTACTTCTATTTTCTTAGGTGTAGAAGACCATCAAAGCCTTCCATCATTGAGAGACATAAAAGATGTATCCATAGAACCATATACCATCGAGAAGCCAAAAAAGAAGCCTCATAGAGCACGTAAGATTCCTTTTCTCTTATTCCACCATTCAAAATTCAAAATTTATATGCTTTTTTCCCATCTGATTGTATCTATCTATCTATCTATCTATATACACATTTTAGGTTTTAACCCTTGTGAAGTTGAGTTAATCGACTCAGTAGATCTACTCAACGAGCCCAAATCCTTTTGGAATTTTGTAAACTTTTCATTACAATACATTCAAACAGATCACACACCTTCCCATGAAAACCCAATTACTCCCAGATTTGGAGGTCATCAAACACTTGAAGAAAGAGAACAATCCTTCCATGTCACCAATCAAACAATCCACTGTGGATTCATAAAAGGACCCCAAGGGTTTCCAAACACTGGGTTTGACTTGGTCAATGAGGACAAAATGTACATGAATTCTTGCACTGTTGTTGTATCATCTTGTATTTTTGGAAGCTCAGACTTTTTGCGAAGGCCAACTAGCAAAATGGTAAGTTTAAGTTAATATCTTCTTACATGATCAGATCTTATTAATTGAATTAAAATAATGATTCTAATTAAGGTTTGTTTCTTGTAGATTAGTGAGTATTCAAAGAAGAATGTTTGTTTTGTTATGTTTGTTGATAAAGAAACACTTGTGAAACTATCAAAAGAAGGAAGTATTCCTGATGAAAAAGGGTTTATTGGATTATGGAGAATAATTGTTGTAAACAACTTGCCATATAATGACATGCGAAAAACAGGAAAAGTGCCTAAATTTTTGTCACATCGCCTCTTCCCATCCGCTAGGTATTATTACTTCTTAGATCATCATTTTAACTAAAATTACATAAATACCCTTGGAAATAATAAAATTCTATTATTATTTTTAGGTATTCAATTTGGCTTGATAGCAAGATGAGGCTTCACACTGACCCAATCCAAATCATCGAATATTTTCTATGGAGAAAAAAATCGGAATTTGCAATTTCAAATCATTACACGCGACACTGTGTATGGGATGAAGTACAACAAAATAAACGTTTAAATAAATACAACCACACAGCAATCGATGAACAATTTTTATTTTATCAATCAGATGGACTCCATAAATTTAACCATTCAGACCCTAATAAATCCCTACCAAGTTGTGCGTATCACTGGTATTTCATAGTTTTTATTTTCCATTTTCAAAATCATATCTCAGAGCCACGTCACTAATTTATTTATTTTTTAATTGAAGATGTACCTGAAGGTTCATTCATTGTGAGAGCACATACACCGATGTCTAATTTATTTTCGTGCCTTTGGTTTAATGAAGTTGATCGGTTTACTTCACGTGATCAATTGAGCTTTGGGTATACTTTTTTGAAGTTGAAGAGAATGAACCCCGATAAGCCATTGGTGCTACACATGTTTAAGGCAAGTAAAATTCGAAAAATGTATTTTATTTATTTATTATTATTATTATTTTTTTTTTGTGTTTTGAATGTTGTTATTATATGTAGGATTGTGAGAGGAGAGCAATTACGAAGCTATTTCATCATAGGAATCCATGAGGAATGTTTGATGCTATAAGATAAGTAGGTTGTTATATTTTTGTGGATTTTGTAATGGAGGTAGATGAGGATGTGGGCCATTGTGAAGCGCAAGCTGAAGATGGTGGGTTTTTGTAAATGTTTAGTGTTTGTATTAATAGAGATTGATGTAGATATAAGACTGTGAAATTAGTTGCAAAGAAACACATAATGTATTATTTTAATTCATAGCCCCATTCTTTTTTGTCTACTTTTCAGGGTTTTGGAATTGAATTTTATTCCAATCCTTTTTTTTTTCATTCGAAACTTCAAACCGAGAACATTCATTGTAAACAAGTTATGTTACAACTCAAATTTCAAAAATTAGCAACTTACCACATTTTTATTTTTATTTTGGAATGAGGTAAGAGGGAGATAGATGTTAGTTGTTATGTCTCAACTGGATGATAGAGCGACTAATCACATAAATGACCTCCGATTGGGGGTAGGGTTGTTGGGATGACAAAAATACCCTGACGTATGGGAAAACCGAACCCGAATCTTTTCGGACGAGTTTTGAGCGGTTTAAATGGTTATGAGATCTTTTTCTAAAAAAAAATCATGAGTATGAGATGGTTATAGTAGTAGAGTTATACATCGATCCTATATTAAGTCCCATTTAGCCATCCTCAAACAATTTATTTTTTACAATCTTTATATTTTTATTATTTATTATAAATGATTTCAAAATTATATTATTTTATTATGTATCAATGTATGATATTATAAATAGAAAGTTTGTTTCATAATTACGAATTATTATGAGAATGAAAATTATTGATATTGTTTCAATGTTTATGTTTTGATATTTGTTGTGATATGTGTTTGGGGCTTAACTGTTACTTGATGATTCCGGCTAGATAGAGTCATGTAATCACAGCAATGGAGAGATAACGTCAGTCGACGTTCGGGAGGTGGTCCTGGGACAAAGTCCTGACGATCTAGTTAGTATGTGTATGAGAACAAGGTGATTAGGGTTTTGGAGAGTGAGAAGACGATGACTCCTTCTGGAGAAGAAGGGCTCCTTTTATACATGTTGTTCTCTGCACATGATCCCAACAATATCCTTTGTCTCGTTTGGGCCGACAGGATGTGGAGAAGTCCTATTGGTGGATTGTGCACCATTAATGGTCATCTGCTATTAGTGCAGAATAAACAAAGGACATATCCCTGAACGCTACA